TTCGGTGGGGAGCTTCAGCGAACTAGAAAAAGTGCATGGTTGAACATGGGTTGATGTACCAAGATTTAGAGGTCGATCTGTCGATGGATGGATAGATAGACCCCTTTCGGATTTGACCTTTGAGTAGTTGCATGTTCATCACTAAAATTTTATGCATCGCTTTCAGCATTACGTTCATCTCACTCTCCTTCATCATTGTACTCATCATCTATAACCCCAACATGGCTCCTGGTTCCAAGTGATGAGGCGTGACACATCCTGGCCCACGTAGGTGGCCGACACAGCCCACGTAGGTAGCCCACACAGCCCACGTAGGTGGCCCACACAGCCCACGCACCGCAAGCTTGCGGCTTCCCCGGAGTTCTACGACCTGCAGCGCTCTGTGATGGACCAAGCCACAACGGGTCTCTAGGGGAGACAGTCAGATGTCCCGCTTTTGGGATGTTGAGATGGATTTCAAAGGATGTTTCTTGTGATGCAGTTCATTGAATGTTGAGAATCCAGTTCATTGGTAGTTTCTTTTGAGGGGGTGCAATGCATCGTTCTACATAAAGTTTCACTGTCATCGTCCAGTGCTGCAAACTGCCCCAAGAGGTTGAAGAAGCAAAGGGTTTGACACCCCCAAATCTGATTGTTTCAGCAGGTCATAAATCATCATAAATCTTCAGATTGTGTCTTTCTGCAATTCCAATGGCGTTTGGGAATATGGGCGTTGTGGGTCTTGTGGGTTATTGATTTGCCAGGCGAGTGTAAACTCTAGAGACTAGACTCCTTTTCTAGAGCTACGATCGACTGTAACAAGCAATAACTGGAAAAGAACTAAACAAGAATCAGCAAAAACAGCCTAACGACAGGATTGAAAACATGTGTGAAAAGAACGATCCCAGCTGCTTTTGCAGTTCCCATGTATATGTATAAAACAACGTTAATTACTGTATCCATTTACAAACGTGTGTGTGTGTGTGTGCGCTACTGTGTGTTTTTCATGGTACTGATTTGTGTGTTGCTATTTGTATGCCCATATATATATATATGCATAGTATATGTGTGTATATCTATTTATATATACACATTATTTTGTTGTGCAAGGTTTATGATTATGAAGATCCATCCCAAGAGCGTCACGCGTCACCCTAAACCCCAATAAGATAGAAATCCAACATGTCCGGTGATGATTCACGTTGTATAGTTTGCAGGTACACATATTTTCCTTATGTTGCTTAAGGTTTTTTGGTTCCACACACGTCTAGAAGATGCCCATAAACAGAATTTCTATATTGTCGGCCATTCTATAGTCTTTGTTGTTTATGATGTTTAGACATGCTCATACATATACTTATGTCGACGTTTGAGTTGTGTCTTTTTCCACGTTGTTTCCTGTGATATCTCTCGGATTGCTATTGTTCAAGACAGTGTTCGATCGATTCATTCTACCTATACGTTGCACCTTCTCAGGCTAGCTAGGAAAGTTTATAGACCAGAAAGTCAACCCACTACAGATGTTTGTACTTCGTTTTGTTCACCCACATGACAATCACTTTGCCAGGAAATGACTAAGGTTGTGCGGGCGGGGAGATTGGGTTTTTTGATCCCCTCGCTCCTCCCGGACGATCATCGTCCGGCTCCACTGAGGGCTTACCTTATTGGAGAGCGGTCAGCTGGAAACACAACGGCACGACCGGGTGCTCAGTGAGTGAGGCTTCAGGTAACGCTCCGCGATCAGCCACACGTGCACGAGTGGGTATATTTTGTCATTGGCACAGATATATTTATTTCATTATACATGTGTTATAGATACTTATATATATATGTACATATATTTTAATATGTATATATATATATAACCGTTTGATCTACATTGTACGGCGTAACATTTGCACACAGTATACACTATATTACACTATAACAATTTGTATATCAGTGCTGTTGTTCCCCGGAGTTGATCCAACTATATTGCAGCCAATGTGCTGAATGGACTGGATAGGTGCAAATGGCTTGCAACCATGGTATTCTGTGCATACCGTGCCGGCTTTTTGTCGGTTGGTTGGGGTCCTGGAGTTGTTGAGAGGCCCATCAAGAACAATAACACAGGACAACTTGCAAACACGCACACAATTTGTCCAACATCAAAGATGTTTCCATTTGGACGATGATGCTTCTGAAACAGTATGATCAAAGCACGGTGAAAGAACATGACAGCTTTGTGAGTTAAGGCTGTGTCCTTCCCCATTTTTTTAGGTCGTAGCAGGTCTCACTTTTCTGGCTGGTCGGTTCTTTTGCGGTGGCATTTGGACATTCTTTTCGCAAGCCAGCCAAGGCATGGTAGGGTGATACCGTGCCAAACTAGCTAAAGGATGATCCTCCAGTTGGAGCACCTAACTCTCAAAAACTTGTGTCCATAGTCAGCACTTGTGTGGCCTTTTCCTTTGGTCAAACATGTCCGTGTGATGTTGGCACAAGTTGTTTTCTTTTCTGCACCCCGCAGCGCTGAGGATTTTCAGTACACCACCACCTTTCAAGAAGAGACCTGGTGCCCGCCTTGGCCGAGACAGTGGAAGGAAGCAGTTGATACTATACTCCTACTATTAGTTTATTAGTGACAAGTAGCTTATTATTTGTGTCCACCATTCCCGTAATTTGTCATATAATGGCGAAGGTAGACATAAACGGTGCAAGCGGAAAGATGACATTCTTGGGATTGGAAACCCTGTGGAGCCGAATCCAAGCGCGTTTCTGTTTGATCGCGCCCCACACGCCACAGAGGGCAGGGAGACAACTTCTCAGGTACTGCGCGAGTGCGGCAGGTGCGAGTCGCCGGGATGCGGTGCCCATAGTGGTGATCATTCCCCTATCCAGTAGCAGTCTTTGATTTTAGTGATATGTGGGGATTGATCTAGAACCCTTTCATTCCGGCCTGTTCAGAGAACGCTTCTCACTGTTTAACGTTTCCCTTGCCAGAACATATCGCTGTGTGTTGGGCCCACTTGACGAGTTTACTCGCGTGACTCGTGTGTGACATGTTCTGGTGAAGCGGTCGGCCATGTAAATTTTCTTGGAGTCCTGCCTCAGTGGTCGATTGGCACATTGGACTGGCGCGAACGCAGGGAGGTGACAGCACAACGGTTCATTGATTAACAACATACTTCCTCCCTCAGTTCAGCTACATGTTACATGTGTTTTTGGGCCTTTGGAGGATTTCCTGAGGTGCTCTATGGTTTTCTCAGGATCTGGAGGCTTCAGTGGTGTCACCTTGAGCTTCAGTGGTGCCACCTTGAAGCACTAAGCACATACCAGCACCTTCCAACAGGTCTCCGAAATGGAGGGTTGTTACGTTGTTAGGCCCTAACGGGTTTCAAATTGGTGACCTGTTGGAGGTGCTGGTATATATATATAGATAGATAGATATGTTTTTTGCTCCGAACGCTTCCGGCAAAATCCGGAGGAGCCGAAGGATAGAAGCTTCATGAAGCTTCCACCAACTGTTTTGCACATCTATTCGATCATCTATGTGCCGTGTCGGTCTGATGCAATATAGTTTTGAGGTGATTTGTGATTACCACGCTAATGTGGTTTTGCGTGTTGCGCAGTGGACTGTTGGAATGTGGGGAAGAGCAGCGTGGTGATGTGTGAAGTCATGAAGTGTGGTATGATGAGACTGATGTGGTGAAGCGTTCTTGAGGACAAAGATGCCAAATCAAAGCCACAGAACTGGGCTGATGGGAACTTAGTGAAATTTTTAGGGCTCCAAGCAATTATATACCTCAGGAGGTCTAGCCAGACCCTCCAGAAGAACATGAAGAACCCCAAAACAATTTGGAGGTGGAATCTGGAAGTCTTCTACTTCTCGGTCAGTCCGGTCGGCTTGGCCAGGGCCCTCAGGCGGTGGCTTCTCGCCCGAGTTCTGTCCGGAAGCCCGAGACGAGAAGATGGTTGGCATATGGCAAGGTGTGGAGATGGGTATCGGTCGATTGAACTGGAACCTTTTTATTTATTAAGGTGCGGCCTACCACAGTTTACCAGTGACAGGTATCCACTAAAAAACCAAATAGACAGTATTGTTTTAATTTGGCATAGATTTCAACTGGTTAATTGTCTACAATATGCACCTGTTGTTGCATGGTTCCCTTCTGGGTGTGTCTTGAGCTGTCAACACGCGGTTTGCTCGCTGGAAGGATTGTTTTGGAATGGAGTTGTCCTGACCCTCAAGTCAAAGACTGAAACTCTCCTTGAAAGAGGCCTGCTGCTACCGTCTTTGTAGCCCTCTCCGATCAATAGGGTCACTACCACACCATTTCAGAACTCGAGAAAGAACTTGATAAAGTGAGTAACCTGGCCGGGATACTGGCAGCGTAGTGTGGGAGCAAGAAGTTCAAAGCAGGCAGATGAGACCCGATGATCACCTTCAGTGATGCCAGCTGCACAGCTCAACAGCTAGATATGAGAACTTATCCCGGAACTTCCCAAAACAAGCGACATGGAGTCGAGTCGCTTAGGCTGGTGCTTTCTTGTAGGTAGCTGTGGGGAAAAACATGGCTTGTCAGTTGTTGCAAGTCAACCAAGTGTCCTTCTATGTCCTTCTCATCCTTTATTTGGGTCAATCAATTCGGCACATGAAGAGCTCGCTTCAACTACATGAAGCTTGTCAAGCCCCTGGTGTGCAACAGGAGGTCTTGCATGCATTACTATGCACGGCTGGGCCCAATCATTAGGCAGAAGCCAAATCTCGCCAGATCAGCTTCCAACTCGGCCAGCGTCCTTCCTGAAGAATGTTGAAGAATTTGGATTCAATGCATCCAACGTTGTGAGAGTTCTCAGGCCGGGGGCCCACAGCAAGAGAACCAGGCAGAATTGCCCGAACCTTAAGACACAAAAACCTTATCATGTGTGACAAGCCCATCGGAGCCGTGTCAGGACGGGGAAGGCCTCTCACCATCCTGATGACGGCCCAAATACCTAGCAATCCAGCTCCTAAAGCCCTCCCAAACCTCTCAAACAGTTCCCTCGTTTTCGGGTTCCACTCCTCCCTCCTTTCGGCCATGGCGGAAGCGGCTCACACGGAGCTCACGACCACACGCTACCGTGGCTTCGTGCGGAAGGACGAGGAATGGCCCGAGGACTCGGAGCAGCCCCTCGGAGCGGAACGAACAACGTTGGGCCGAAAGGACAGTGTCTGGAGGCATCCGGGTGATGATGGAAGGCAAGTAGTACATGTTTTGAAGGGTTTTTGTGAAGGATGCGGTGAATATGATTCTGCAAGGTTGAACAGAGCTTTGCACTGAGAGATCCACTGAACAAAGTTTGCATTGAGAGGCTGACAGACACAGTCAGTCTTCACCTGTACAAACCGTCCAGAACGTACTGTTAGCAGTTGTGGGATCCTGGATCCTCAGTGCTGTCGTTCTATTTTCCACCAGAGGCATTCATGAAATGCGCTATTAAGTGACTATGCAAAGTCCTTTTGATTATGTATGATTATGTCATAGCATATCAATGTTTGGAATAATTAATAGGCCCAATATATAGTATAATTAATGAGTTGTTCAAGCCTATTCCTAATTGTGCCATATTCCAGCATGTCGATCCATATGGTGTGAAGCCCTTTTGAGTCATACAGTATATATTTCTTTTCATCCCTAGAGGCTGGAACAAGCTGCCAGAACGGGCTTGACCCTTCGGGCCGAGGTACAAAGCCGGATGTGACATCGAGAGCCCTGGGCACGAAACGCGCCGTTGGCCCAGTGCGTCCGTTGAAGACCTGTGGGAGGTTTACTAGTCAGACGCCACCGCAAAAGGTGGAGGATTCAACCAGTTGTACGGGAATGAATGTTGACACGTGTGCCACCTGTACATACAGTATTAGTATATATGTTATATGTATATATATATATAGTGTTATAGACATAATGACGGCTTCCCATTTTTAGGTGACTCTGGCACCCAGCTGCATACATTCTTGTGTGCCTGCTTATGCGAGCCCAAGGGCTGTCAGTTTTCTGACTGCCTCAAAGGGTTTGAGTAGCAAGACATAGCAAGATTTCGCAAGATAAGAAACCCACTTAGTCGCGCTGTATATGATACATGATCATGCTATTCAGCAAAAGACAGTTCCTTAGTTTCTCGCTTCGTCACCACGAAAAATCCGAGGAACCGGAAGAGGCCACCCCCCGATGAAGTGCCTGGCGACGTGTTCGATCGACAGCGGGTGGCTTGGTGTCGCGACCCGGGTATTTTCCGTCATCGGAACCGCAAGGGTCTTGAGTCTTGCAGCGCATGTTGGAAGATGTTTGAAGAATTATATAAATATACTGTAGATTTCTTGATGATTGCACGGAGAGGATGAAGAGGGTTTAGTTGGGTGGGGCAGCTTGTGGTACTTTGGCTGAAGGCTATAGCTTGACTTTGCAAATGAACAAGCCACTGCATGTCGCAGTAGAGGATAAGAGGGAGCACCAGCTTTTTGACGTGAGCGCCGATGAGAGTCATCAAGTTGGCATGCATTGCTGCATTACTAATCCGGTCCACCTAATAATTAAAAAACACGGGCCCCCCCCCTAATAAGGAAACCTCGGTCGCATTTTTTTTAAATAGGGGGTCCCTGAAATCGGGGGGTCCAAAATAGGGTCACCTGGGAAGAGCTTCAAAACCAAAAAGTAAATCAGTAAAATTTTATATAAAATCCTTTATTAAACTCGTATCAAAAATGCAAAAAAGCTCCAGATCGAAGGGTCTTCCTTTTCCCCTACAAAAACCTTCATTAGAATAGTGATTCTTCAGTAGACTAACAGCTAAAGCTTTCGAAAGGTGATGTCGCTGTGCCATGCGGTGTTGCATGACCTCGGTGGCAAGTGCGTTTGCGTGAGTCCGTGCCATTGGGGGAAGGAAAGCCTGCTGGTGTAAGCGCGGCGTGTCATGGTGGATAGACAGGGCGGACAGAGGTGGACAGTTACGGTTGTTTAACTCCTCCAAAGTCGGCAATGTTGGTAGTTTAGTTGCGGCTTGAAAGGGCGGTAATTTAAAACCAAATATAAACCGAACTTAGGGGGATCCGGCATAACTTTTTTTTAAATAGGGGTCCGTTTTTTATTGGGTACTCGGGATTAGAATTTTCCAGCTCAAGGGATGTTGTTCAGTGATGGGAAGGAGGTCAGTTCCCCAACACATATTCAATGGATGTGGCCGTGGAAAAGCCAGAAGATCGGGGAATTCCGTCAAGTTCATGAGCAGTAGACACGGGTCTACCCATTCTAATGTATTCTCGGCTGGGACTTCTCAAAATCATCCTGGACTACTGGTAGTTGGAGCCTGGCCCTTTGACACATTACATGTGTTTGACATGCTTCAACTGTTTCACATTCTGGCCCGCGGTAACTTTTCGTTCTATTTCTGCACTAGGCAATTGCACAGCAATTGCAGTATATACTCAATACATCTCAATGCATTCTACTTTCAACATGTGTATATATATATATATGCTTGTAGATATATTTTTTAAACATATAAATATATATGACAACTCGCGAGGGTAATCTCTTCCACAGGTCTGCGGCGGTGAAGAATGCATTGGAGGAGGCGCAGCTCAGGTTGGCCTCGGCGGAGATGAGGCCGTCGAGGCAGGCGAGGATGATCCCGTTGGCAATCATCGAGGCCATGGAAGACATGGTGCTGTGCGACGACCGACTCCCCTTTGTCAGGGCATACGCCTGGTTCAGGCTGGTGAAGTTGTGGACGGGAATGCGCTTTGATGATACACGAGGGACACCGAACCGGAGCATTGAGCTTCGAGATTCACACCTGGTAGGGGTCATCCACAAGTCCAAGACCTCTGGGCCGGGCAAGCGTGTCCTCCTCCTCCCGTTCTATGTCAGCAAAGACGCCTGGGTAAGCCGATACAATTGGTTGGAGGTCGGATGGCGGATCTGGACTCACATGGGCATGGAGTCTGGCCTTTTGACCCGAGACTTTATGTTGGCTTGGCCGACGGTGGACAGGCGATCGTTTGCAAGGCGGATGGCGGACTATGCAACGGCCTCTGCAATGTCACAAGCTTTGTTTGGCGAGCTGTGGACTATGGATGGAAGCCAGAGGATCTCGCTGCTGTTCAATGGAGTAGGCACGCTATGGACAGAACATAGCGAACGTGCGACCTTGAGGTCGTGGGCAGCGGCCGCAAGGGTGCCGGAGGACATCCGGCGTCAGATGGGCAGGTGGCGGCCGGCCGCCGATGAAGGCTATGAGCGGGTGGTTCGTGCGAACGTCCTGCGAGCCCAGAAGATCATAGCAGCCTTCATTCGAGACAACAAAGGAAGAGGAGACCCCATGGACGAGTCGGCAGTGATGGAGGCAGTCAGCATTCGCATGGGGCTGCTTGGATATCCGGACGAGGCAATGGAGCTACAGACACGCCTGCTTGAGAGGTTCCATCCAGAAGAGGTGGCAGTGGAGCCATGTTGGAGGCCTAAGTGGACGTCGGCAGGGCCGGTGGTGCTCGTCGAGCCGGAAGACGGCGACCCCATCAATGATCGGAAGACTGGGCCTGAGGATGCCGGCTTCGAGTCAACGGAAGAGCTGGAGACGGAGCCGCAGGGCGAGGTGGTCCGAGCAGAGGCAGTAGCGGGTAGCTATGTGGTGTCGATAGTTGGTCGATCGCGGACGCGAACTCTGCACCGCGTGGGGGAGTGCCATAGGCAGCCCGGTGTACATTATGCACAGTTTGAATTGCTAGGAGATGAACCTCCAGATACAAGCCAATATCATCGAGCTTGTAAGAACTGCTTCGGTGACGGTGCAACCGTGGCAGGGATTTCTCCGGAGGATGAAAGCTCCGGGGAAGTGACTTCGTCGGACTCAATGGAGTCGGATGTGGAGGCATCATTGTGAGAGATTCGTGGGCCTCACAGTGAAAGGGGACGTGCTGCACTAAAGGGGTGGTATGCGGCGAAACATCAAACAAGAGAAGGGCCGTGTACGGGTCATAGGAAGGCCTGAGGCGAAAGGGGGGGTTAAAGTTGAATGTGGTTTGTGTTTTGGTTTTGAGTGTGCTTTGCCGGGTTGATTGATCGTTTCGTGGAACGTCATGGATTTGTGCAAGCCTTGTGAGACCTTCCCTTTCAGGCATGATGGTGCATGAGTGGGGCTCCAGCCCGGGCGGCCGTTCAGCGGCGGTTCATTCCCGGGGTTTCTCACGGGGAGGACCAGTCCTCGTGAGTTCACATGGCGGGAGCCGGGGCTGCTGCTGGGGCGCTGGACATCGGCCATGACACGCCGGCACGGCGGGCAAATGCCATCTCGCTCTTGGATGCGGATCTACACGGTCTTCTGCAGATCAAGGAGGTGAATGAGACTCTGCAGGCAAAGCTGTCGGTGGCAAGGGTGAGAACCATTAGCAGGTTGAGCACGGTGACTGACGACAGGGCTGGCATGAGGAGGTTTTGTGTGGATTCCCTTGGGCTCGATGAGGCAAGGGATGTGATAGATATCGCATCTATGGTGGACGCCTGGGAATCCTCTTCGACCAGAATGACAGTGAGGCACAAGGCGGAGGCAGAGGCAGGGCTAGCCAGTCAGCCCCGAGCTTTAAACAAGGTCGAGGTGCAGGATCTGCTCACAAAGTTCCAGGCGGTGCACGGCCTCAAGTTGGAGGACAGGAGCATACCAGCAGCGTCAACGCTGGAGCAGATCTTTGACCAGGTGGAGCAAGGGGAACTGAAGAACATGAGCCTCGTGCAGTTCGTTAGCCGAGAAGACGCCGAGGCAGATGTGTTGGGCGCCACCATTGAGAAGGGCACAGGAGCTTTGAAGGTGAAGAAGGGATATGGTGAGTGCCCCAAGCCAAAGACACCAGAGGACTTCAGGCGTCGCATGGCGGTCGTTTCGCACTCGTACTTACTGGCCCAACTGAAGTTCCCACAGAAGGCTATACTACGTGACCTCCAGCCAATGCACTTTCTCAAATACCTGGATTTGATGCTTGGTGAGCATGTGCTAGGCCTCAAGGCCAAGAACCAAGATGGGGAGACAGTAGCATCGCCCGACTTCGATTTGGTTCTCTCCTATGACTTCCAGGTGAGAAGAGCTATGGTGAAGTTGGCGAACGAGGGCAGGTTGCTACATGAGGCATTGAGAGAGGCCATGCTGGACACCACCATAAAGGAGCGCTACTTTCTCACACCCAATGTGTACTCGCAGGTGGCTCATTCAAGGACACCACCATGGAGGTCGCGGAGCCCACCGGTGGAGCGCTCGTGGGGCATGGATCGAGGCCGTGACGGTGAGCGAGGCAAAGGAAAGTCACGGAAAGGAGGAGGAAAGGGCAAAGGCAAGAAGGGCGGCAAGCAGTTGCACGACCGCACGCCCGACGGACGCCAGATTTGCTGGCGATGGAACAATCCCCGCGAGAGATGTCGGTTCAACTGTGGCAGGCTGCATGTTTGCCAGGTCTGCTTCGGGCCACATCCCATGCATGCCTGCGATGGGAGCGGGAAGTCCAAGGACACAGCTGGGGGTGCCGCGGAGGGCGGCGGAAAAGCATCGTGACGCCACAATGAGGCGGGTTGTGCCCCAGGCCCGCCTGCATCGGAAAGCACCACGACGGGCGCACGAGAAGGCAAGCATATGAGTGTGCTCTACCTCTTCAGTGGAGCGCAACGGAAGTCGTCAGTGACATCGGTGCTTCAACATCTATGTCATCAACAAGGAATCCATTGTACAGTGCATGAGGTTGATATTCAGAACTCCCCAGAGTGGGACCTTTCGAAGGGGGCAGTGCAACAGCCATTGCTGCAGCGCATCAAGCAAGGTGAGTTCGACGCGGTCTTGGTCACACCGCCTTGCTCCACATGGAGCAGGGTACGAGGGGCAAACTGCAGAGGCCCGCCAGCCATCAGGTCTCGTGAGCACCCATGGGGTTTTCCCTGGCTGTCTGCCAGGCACCTCAAAGATGCTGAGCTGGGCAATGTCCTGATCGTCTTTATGTTAGACGTGCTATAGAGACTTTGGAAGCACATCCGCATGCAGCATCCGGTCGACTGGTCATCGTGTTTGGTGAGCACCCGGAGGACCTCGGTCTCATTCGTCGAGAAGAGGATGGAATGCTGATGGAACCGGCCTCTATTTGGCAGTTGCCGCGCATGCGAGCCCTGGTGCGGCAAGATGCAACTCTTGAGTTGTTCACTGTGGTCTTCAACCAATGCTGCTGGGGGGCACCTTATCGCAAGCCAACACGACTCATTACCAATCTGGCTGCTCTGCGAACTTGGGGGCAATGCCAGTGGCCCCAGTTCGATGCACACCGCCACTATGTGGGCCCCATCCTGGCATGCAGATGCAAGCCCACCGTGACCTTGGCCAAGGCGAAAGAGGATACTTCCTTTCGCACCTCAACAACATCTACCTATCCAGCAGCGATGGATGAACAGCTGGCCCAGTCAATTCTTCAACAGTGGCAGAGGGCTCCCCTCCAACCGGCTAAAGAGGGAGAAAGACATCCGATCGGAGAGGAGCCTGGCAAGGAGCAGCATTGCAAGAGGCACGCAGAAGGGAAGATCAAGGAGTCGCCCCGCAAGAAAGCAAAGCCCTCTAAGGAGAAGATCGAGGAGACGCCTGACAAGAGAGTCAGACCGGCAGAGGGGCCACCCATACAAGTCAGCTATAAAGGTGAGACCAGGGCACTACATGACGGGGCAGGTCTTTGTCCCCGGGCAGGTGGCCGGTCGACAGGAGGAGGCTGCCGGTGACGGAGCGGGAGAAGTCCACGGTTGCCTGGTTTGAGGATGCATTCGAGACTTGGCTGAAGGAGGTTGGAGTTGAGGCCAAGCAGATCTTTTGGTCCATGGCGGCCGGGAGAGTCAAGCAGTCTCCTTTCGAAAAGGGCATCGACGAGGCTCGCAGGGCTCTGGATCAGCACCTGGCTCGATGGGGACTGGAGCCTTGCAGGATAGCCGAGGACAGACCCTCGGAGATAAACTTCAGGAGATTGAGAGCTTTGGCAGAAGCCCTGAGCGATGAAGACTTTGGGTTCCTGGAGGAAGTAGCGGCCCGTGGAGTCAGGCTGGGAGTTGATCTGGAGATGCCAAGGACGCCGGCCGTGTACGAGGAGAAGGTGAAGTGGACCGTGGATGCTACAGACGAAATCATGAGGGACATGTTGGCAGAGAACTACGAGTCGGCCGAAGAGAATGCAGAAGACATAGCTCGGCAAGTCCTTCATGAGGTGGAGATTGGCACCATTGTGAGGATGATGGAGCATGAAGCGAGGAGGAAGTACAAGGGCCGATTGGCGGTGGCGGCTCTCGGTGCGGTCCCGAAGGAGCTTGGGACAAAGAAGGTCCGGTTGATCCATGATGGGACTTACAGCGTGGACGTCAACACAAGGATCAGGGTGAGAGATAGAATGCGCTTCCCGCTGATCGATGACGCCACGGCAGTGCTGAGACAGGTGGAGCATGAGCTGGATGGAAGTCAGGGGGCAATTCGCTTCTCCGTCCTCTATGACATCGCCAGAGCACACAAGTTAATCCCAGTCGATGAGGAGGATTGGGGGCTACAGGCGTTTCGTTTGCCAGGCGACAAGTCAGGGGACATCTTCGTGCACACCAGGGGCACTTTTGGGGTGGCGAGCGCCGCCTACTGGTTCGGCAGGGCCATCTCGGTTGCAGTGCGCTGCGTGCACCGCCTTCTCGGCAGGAGGTACGGTCTCCTACATCTCATTTATGCAGATGATGGTTGGCTGACGGCGACCGGCCGGGAGTTCTGGAAGAAGATCTTGATGTGGTTCTTCACCTTTGAGCTACTAGAGATACCCGTGACCTGGTCGAAGGTGCGAGGCGGCACTGAGGTGAACTGGATTGGCTATTGTCTCAATGTCCACACCTTCCAGAAAGGCATCAACCAGTCGAAGAGAACATGGATCGTCGATTGGATAGATCGCAAAGAGGAGCAAGGAGGTGTGCTCCGGCGAGAGCTCAAATCGGTGCTGGGGCGGCTCAGCTTCGTTGCCGGAGCGCTGAGACACGTCCGCCCGTTCCTGGCCCCTCTTTTCTCGTGGGCTTCGACCATGGCACCTGGCACTTTCTCGAAGTTCCCAGATGCTGTGATGATTTTGCTGGACTTCATACGAGAGGAGGTGAAGAGAAAGCCAATGAGGCGTGCCGAGCCGCTGGAGAGGTGCCCTGTGGACATCTTCAGGGTGGACGCCAAGGCGGCAGGGGAGGACATCGTCATCGGTGGCTGGGAAACGGGGATGACCCCCGACCAAAAGACGGCCAGATGGTTCTCCTTTCGGCTGAATAGGAAGAATGCGCCGTGGGCGTACCTCAAGGGCGACCCCTTCAGGAACATCGCCACCTTGGAGCTCATCGGCGTCCTGGTGGCAGTGATGATGTTTGGGCCGGAGGCAGGCTGGACGACGGGAAGTGCGGCTGTGACACTCACAGCCTTGACGGACAACTTGGGGAATACCCATGTCTTGAAGAGATATGGGTCAAGCAAGTATCCATTGTCGATTGTGGCAATGGAGTTAGCGGTGCAACTCGACATGCTGGGCATTGACATGCAGCTGCAATGGGTGCCCAGGGCACAGAACCAGCCTGCAGATGATCTCACGAACGATCAATTTGATGACTTCGATCCAAGCAATAGGCTGACAGTGGATTTTGAGGCTCTCCCCTTCCAGGTCATGAACCGATTGCTCAAGAAGGCAGGCGAGCTAGATGCCGAGCTCAAGCTGTTCAGAACTTCGAAGGAAGCTAAGCTGGCGCAGCTGCAGGGCACTTCATCGACGAAGGTGGGCAAGGCCAAGAAAGGCGAGTTGCGGTGGAGAGATCCATGGTGAGGACTGCAGGGGAGTCAAAGTGTAAACCATGGTTTTAGAATTGTTCCATCGTAAGGGTTGAAAGTGTTGAACTAGTGTTCGAAGGTGGGGTAGTGCAGACCTCCCTTCTTACTAAAGTAGGGGGATGAAGAAGCGAGGTCATTCATGCACACACCTCTCCTAAAA